GACAGGTACAGGCCCTCGCGCCGTCGGCCGGATTCCGAGAGTCGTCGCTCTGCCTCCGCTGGGCCAACGCACCTCGCGCCCGTTCCCTATTTTTCGGGGCCGACTGTCCGGGCTGGGCCTCGGCCGGGCCGTTCTAGGCGTACAGTGTATAGCCCCCGTTGCAACTCGCGGCGTTTTTTGGACGGCGACTCTCCCCCGGGCTGGGCCCGGCCCTTCAGCGGGGCGAGGAGGGGGAGGAGAGGTACCCGCGTTCCCACAGCGGCCGTATCGACAGCCCAGCCAGAACAAATCGAAGGCGGTAGACTGCGCGGGAGTGCGGCCGAGGACGGGCGGGCGGACGGACAGGCAGACAGACAGACAGGCGGATAGACAGACAGACAGACAGACAGGCGGACGGTCGGACACGACAGATCGCGTGGACGCACAACTTGGCGATAACTTCCGCCTCGATTCGCTTTATTTTTTCCTGAAGCTCATCGACTGCGATCGTCACCTTGCTGTGCGATGCGTCGGCCATTTTCCCGCACTGGAAAATGAAGAGTGTACGTACACGGTTGGCTCTCAAAAGGAGTCAACGGTTGACGCTGTTCGTCCTCTCAACAAGGGCATTCTGTGAAAAAATAGTGTACGTGGAATGTACACTTTGTACATAGAATGTATACTCTGATGCGTCTGGCCGCAAATTAGAGTGTGTCTTTACACTTTTTTTCAAAGCATGCCGCAGATTACAAAAAGCGCTAAAATTTAGGTTGACTCTCGTAAGAGTCAACCATGTACACTTTTTCAGTTTCCAGAGTGGATTCCTTTCAGTCTCTCGCCTTTTTTGAGAGTGTGGCAGTGAAACGGACGTAGAATGTCCGCCCCTGCGCCGCCCCGTTCTTTTCTCACCTTCCGATCAGTAGCTCTCCACGGTTCATTTTGTCCCTCATTGACGGACTGGAGGAGGAGGCCCGGGGCGTCAGAGCGGTTCATGGAGGCTCATGAATCCAACAACAAGGTGGGAAGTCTACTCGCTGCGGTTCCACAGAAAAGAAAACTGTGAGGTGAGGTTAGGTCGGACGAAAACGTCATGTCGGGCTGACATGCGCAGTGTATGTTCACACTCATGTGTGCATTACGGCATTACTTATGTACAAAAGTCCACGAGCATGTGCAGATGTGTTTCGTCTTGCCCTCTAGTTCAAGTCTCCAGGCAAAGAAGCCGCACTTTCGGGCCTATCCGTCCCCGACTCGGAGTCGAGCTCCGTTCCAAACGGCTGGGATATGAAGCACGCGCTGACCACCGCGTGGCGGCACTCTGGGATGCACGGGGCGGTCCGGCTTAGCCATTCGGGCAGTGTGCCTTTCCATCTGGCACACCGTGGGCCCGCTCGCCGTGGACCAGGCGGTCGGTTTGTGGAGCTGCGCGCCTCCTGATTGTCGAGAATACAAATCCGACCACACGGCATGCGGCCCTCGGACGGACAAACAGACAGACAGACAGACAGACGGGCGGTAGACAGAGAGAGTTGACTCCCTGAGTTCCTCGTTTGACTCGTCGCCCAGAACCGCACGCTGTGTGATTGTGGTGGGGTGGCTGTGTTAGTTTGTGTACGGTACCATAACCACGTCCACCGTACCGGCCCAAAAAAAATGTTGACTGCACCGCGAAATAGCGATTGCAAAGCGATCGTTCAATTTATTTCGTTGTTTAGATCGGCTCCACGTGGCTTTGCGCGGCGTTATTGAGTCGTTGGGAAGAGGGGAGATGGTCTCGAAGCTATCTGCGATCGGAAAAGAGCGGAGAGAGAGAGAGAGAGAGAGAGAGAGAGAGAGAGAGAGAGAGAGAGAGGGCAACACGGTGCAGAGGGACGGAAGAGTGGGTGGGACAAATAATGATAGATGCCTTGCGGTCGACGGTAGCCGATTCTCAGGTATCGAGCTACCGGTCTTCTTGGCGTGCCCCGGTGAGGCTGCATAGCACACACACACACACACACCGTGCAGAATCATCCAACACGGACCCTCGGGATGTGCACACTTTGTTTCAATGGGGTTTTCTTCAACGTTACTGGTTTTGTGAACTGGTCGTTGTATTATTATGAAAATCGTTTCGAAGACTGTTGTTTTTGTTCCATGAGGGCACTTCTCGTTTACTAAAAAAAAAAAGTCCACGCGCGAAAGTCCTTGGCAGGGCAGACAGTAGTGTGTCCTGCGTGGAAAGTGAAGAGGAGACCTCGTCAGGTGTTTCAGACCGACCGAGTTGGTAGAGTACCAGACGTAAGCCGCAGACATCTAATTTTGCCGTGTGTGTGTGTGTGTGTGTGTGTGTGTGTGTGTGTGTGTGTGTGTGTGTGTCACTGGTCAAACTGTGTGGCCACATGGTGCGGGCCGCTTTCTAGCTCATCCAGATCCCGCTGGCCTGGAGCTGCTTCCGAAAAAGACAGACGTGGCGGTGCAGTACCCTTCTCGTTGTTCTTGTTGTTGGCCAGGCCAGGCGGTCACTTTTACCAAAACGGCTCGGCGCCTTCGCACGCGTCCCCCCCCCCCCTTCTCTCTCTCTCGGCTCGCGCGGCTACTTGCGGCTTGATTCGTTGAAGCCTTTTACGGGGAGGGCGCCGCCGGTGGATTTACACTGCCAGCAACACGGCGATGAAGACCCTTATCACTGGTTATCGGTGAGACACACCACTGTGTGTGTGTGCGCGCGCCACGCCGCGCGTGTCCGCGTGCAAAATCGGGTAACTCTGCGGAAAAAGCACCGCAGTTGTGCGCGGCGTGGCCGATGCCGAATCGTCGCTCTGCCTCTCTCGCACCCCCTGGGCGGCCCACAAGTGTGAGAGAAAGAGAGAGAGAGAGAGAGAGAGAGAGAGGCGTGTGGCGCTCCGTTCCCAGCATTGTTGGCTGCAATTAGGTAACCCCCGGCGCCAAGGACGCGCGCCGACAAAGGCGGTGGCTGGCACGTGCGAACACGGGGTGCGATATGCGGCTCTATATGCGTTTTTCTCCTTTCTTCAACAACAATACGCGAGCCCCCCGCGCGCGCCTTGACACCGTTCACCGGTCATCGTGAGAGAGAGAGAGAGAGAGAGAGAGAGAGAGAGAGAGAGAGAGAGAGAGAGAGAGAGGCGTCACACCGTGGCAAGGTGACGTCACGGGAGAGATGATGCGCGGGGCTGCTGTCGTGCCGGAGCTGCCTGCCTATTTATTCATAGTGCAAACTTTGCATAACGCTTGGCGAAATTCCTGAAGCCGTATATTTTAGTAGTGTGTAAGGTTATGGTTGGTTTCAGTGAGTTAAGGAACGGTTAACGAGGCGTTCATACACTTTAATGTTCACGCAAGATTTTTGAAAAATTTAATCGCATTTTATTTAAAGTAAAAGTAGTTTTTTTTCAGATTTTTTTCATGTGGGAATTATTACTATTTTTTAAGATGAAGCGGGTGGTGTGGTAAGGGCCTTTCCTTTGAACGGAACCTGGCACTCTCACTGTCACACACAGCGCGCGCACACACACACACACACACATTTACCTTTTGGCGAGGACTCATCTCCCTTTTGCAGCCATTAGACATTCCCAGCATTCGTCAGCGATAACCAGGATCGCAAGCCGTGTAAACACGCAGACCCCACCTCATCTATCTCCTAAACCATCTCATTGCCCTTCTCTCTCTCTCCCTCCGCAGCCTCCCGAGGAGTTGTCTCGGCCGTCGTTTTATTTTTCTGTCGAGAGCCAGGGCCGCACACAGGAGCTAATGCTGGTCCGTAATAGCCGCCAAGGAGGGAGCGAGATGGGGCGAGGTTGCAGCGTCAGTCTGGTGCAGGAGGACTAAGCCTGCAGGGGTAATCTTTCTGGGTCTCCGGGTGCGAATAAGTAGCACGATATTTCTTAATTTGCAAAAGGGACCGCCCCTCCCTCGTCTCACGGCGTTTTGGGAGTGTGTTGGACCATTTTGGACAGTCTGAAAGTGCAGGCGCGTGTGACGTGGGCGCTCAGTCTCGGCACAACAGAGACTTTCATACTACAGGAGCCTGCGGATCACAATCCACACCACTTGAGAAAATGAAACAACGTACTCAGGACCGCAGCGAGCGCAGGCTTTCACTGCGCATTGAGATTCAAGGCAACCACACTAAAAAGTCGTCGCCCCCCATGGCTGTGCGATCAACGCACCGCTGCAGACAAAGACTATCGCAACGCGTGCAATATGGGACATGCCTCTGGTCGTTCCCCCGCCCCCACTCCGGGTCCGCCCCTCTCCAGACCCCCCCCCCCCCCCCCCCCCGTGGCGCGTTTCGAGTCTCCCTCCCCGCGACCCGACTGACGCTACTGTGGACTGACTCCGAGAGCCGTTTTCGTCGCTCCGTCTCTCTCGCACTCGCGGGGCGCCCCGTATGGAGTCTGCTGACGCTCCGGGGAGCAGAGCCGCCTCCTCTTCTCCGGCGAGCTGCGGCAATAGTCGAGCTACTTGTGCGTTTCTGTATCGTAAAACTCGCTGGCCGAGGAATCCGGCGCCTGGCTGTGCCTCGCCGCGCCTCGCCGCCCCGGCGGGACCGGACACGCGGACACGGCCCTGGCCGAGGCCCTGGCGGCGGTCAAACGCGGCAAAGCGGCGAAAGGGGGGGGGCAGTGGTGGCTATTCGGCGCCGTGTCGTGTAGGCCATTCCGTGCATTGCGGAATTGTCCTGACTTTGTTGTTGTTGTTGCAAGGGCCTTTTGCTGCCCCTTCTTCCGATTGCACCCGGCCCTTTTGACTAGTCCGGACTCTGTTGCTGATTTAACTTGGCCCTTTTGACTAGTCCCGACTCTGTTGTTGTTGCTGATTTAACTTGGCCCTTTTGACTAGTCCGGACTCTGCTGTTGTTGCTGATTTAGCCCCGCCTTTTTCACTAGTCCGGACTCTGTTACTAAACCTGGTGCTGTGACTTGTCGTTACTTTGCTGTTGTTAGTTTTGTTTTTGCTGATTAAACCCGGCACTATGACTTGCGCTAACCTTGTTGTTGTTGTTGTTGTTGCAGGGCCCGTGGTCGGCGCGACCTGGACATGGCTTCCTGACCCCCGGCCGCCCCGCGGCGCCTCCCCCGACCACCCCGACCCGCTGGGCGACGGCAAGGATATGATTAGCATGGAGTTGCCCCCGGGCCACCAGCTGCACCACGGCATGGGCCCGCAGCTCGTGGACTCGCTGCACCAACAGCACCTGCAGCACCACCAACAACACCACCAGACAGGTTGGTAGCTCGTACTGTGCGGAGATGCCGGATGAGAATTTCGTAGTGCCAGTCCACGTGGCCGTGTGTCGGGTTGCGCCACCGCCGCCGCGAGCTCGGCGTCGATAAAGAGTTTGTTTCGCCGCGACCGCCCGGCTGGCAGTGGGCTGGCCTGGCCGGCCGACCCGACTGCCCAGGGCGCACTGCGGCCCGGCGGACCCCGCGGACCCCGCCACCCTCACACCGCCGCGGGGCCCACGGGCAGCCCACGGCGCGGCTCCGCGCTCCGGCCGGCCTGGGCTTTTAAGCGCCGCCGGTCGTGCTCCACGAGTTTCCGTACCGCCCCCACCCCTCCCCCACCCCTCCCCCTCGCTGGCGCCGACGCTTTTAACCCGCGCGTCGTCGTCGCCGTCCCGGCCGATCGACACTTACTTTGCTTTTTGACGTTTCACTCGTAATTCGGGTGCCGCGGTCGTTGTTGCGTCGTCCGGCAGAGCTCTGTCTCTCTCGCACCTGCACGGAACGCCCCACGAGTGCGAGAGAGACAGACTGCTGGCCGGCCGGCGGAGCTTGGCTGGAACTGTGTCAGGCTTGTTGGCCGCGCCACTCCCTCTCGCGCGCAGCCTTCCGTGCAATGCGCGTGTGACGAGGTCGGGGGTTCGAGTCTCGGCGGTGGCGACCGTTTTGCTTGCAAGCATCCTCGTCCTTGTCATTGTAATCCCGACTCGGGGAACGAGTTTACTCAGAAGTCAGAGCGATGATAATGATCTGAGGATGATCATCTAACAGCCTAACCTAACTTAACTTTAACTTTTGAATTTTAACATTATAGTAAGTTTATCCTCTTTATCCTCTCTGTCGCTTTCCGTTCGGTGCGCCCTTAAGTTTTCAATGTGGTGGCAAGTTAAGGTTATCCAGCTCAAGCAAGCGTACTGCTGGAGGTGTTTTGAGTTTGACTGTACCGCAGTTAGGTTAGGTCCGACCTTCCACGTGGGGGGCTGCTGCCTCACAATGAACAATCCCTATGCAACAAAGGTCGGCGAGTGTGAGCGAGTGCAATATTGGCCACCACGGCAGCCCCGGCCGTAATAACACATCTTTAGTGTGTCTCCGCGACTCGGACCAAATTACTGGCTGTAAAAACGCCCTAATGGGCCGCCAGGGCTGCGGATGGAAAAGCGGGTATTGCCTCGCGGTAGGTATTGGCTCCTCGTTACAGGCTGCGTGGCTCTTATAGTGGCGCGGTGGCGTCGGAGACTTAGTGGCGGACTTAGTCGCCGACCGACTGTTGCGGGAATACCACCCACCATTTAGGCCTCCCAGTTCGACGGGGCTGCGCTTGGAGCGGCCAGCGGTCAAATTGGGCGCCTCTTTGTGTGTGTGTGTGTGCGTGTGTGGACCCGTGCGGAACGGTGTTTGCCAGCTTCTGAATCATCGAGTACCCACGTCACTGCAAACACTAAGATTTTTTTTTTTTTGCGAAAAGGGGGCGTAAATTTTTGATAAGTGCGTTAGGAAAGCTTCACGTGAAGCTGGCATAATTTTTGAACTTCGTTTTTCAAAGTGACATTAATTGTCGAGATAAATCCCAAGTCGTTTCGTATAGAACGTTGCTAGAGAATCAGTCCAGGAGTACACACAGCATCCCCCCCCCCGCTCCAGCCAGCCACTCGGATTGCCCCCTCCCCGTATCCCCCACCACTGGTTTCTCTGTCTTGACTGTGCCGTCGAGGTAAGCGCCTCACCTGGTATCTCTTAATCGTCTCGTAAAGAAGTCTCTCCTGTGCATACACCTATAAATCGAGCAGCTTGCCGGTATCGATCGCTCGAAACACTTTCTTCGAGCAATACCGCGCACGACCCTTTCGGCGGAAACGCGAGGCGGCGAGTGATTTCCGGACTTGATTTATTCCGCTGGAGATGTCTTTATTTCAGTCACTTTTATTATTATTGATTTATTGTGGGAAGAAAAGACCTCTAGTTTTGCTGTGAAAACCAGAGTTTCAATCTGAAACAAAATCAACTAACCATTTGGTGTGCTTGTTTGTTGCAGATGACCACGGAATGAGTCAGGACGGTGAGTACACTGTGTTGGGCCGCGGCCGGGCGTGTGACGGTGGTGTGGCGTTCCTTGTCGAGCGTAGCGCGTAAAGCAACTCTGCCGTTCCGCGAGTCGGTTTTCGTCGCTCTCCGTCTCCCTCGCACTCGTGGATCGTCCCGTATGCGTGCGAGAGAGGCACAGCGACGAAAATCGCCTCTCGGAATCCGCCTTTGTATTTGTCCGAGACACGCGCGAAACGGCCGCCGCGCCGCAGTATACCTGTCACGCCTCGGCGGCAAAAGTGAGGTTAGGTTCGGTTAGCTAACCTCGGCCGCCGCGTGCCACGCGCGCGCCGTCGCGGGCCGGCACGGCGACACGCGGCTCGACTCAAATGACTTCATCAGCAGCAGACTGATTCCGTGAGTCGCTTTCGTCGCTCTGTCTCTCTCGCCAACCTGCACGGGGACGCCCAATGAGGGCGAGCGGAGAGACAGAGCGACGCGACACGACTCTCGGAATCCGTCTGCCGCTGCGTCTCTCATACTCTCCCCCACACGTCCGCAGGTAATAAAGTCATTAGCTGCGCTCCTTGTAATGGCTCTGTTGGCGCCCTCGGCGCCGCCCGGCCCGCCAGGTTAGAGGTTCGCGTCCAACTTTGAAGGAGCGACAAAAAAAAATCTTATTGCGAAAGCGAGCGGCCGCTTTTTTGTCACCCCCTTTTCGCTTTGCCTTGGCCGACGTGCTTTATTTTTCTTCCTCACCATTATAAGCAACATTATTATTATTATTATTATTATTATTATTATTATTATTATTATTATTATTATTATTATTATTAAGTGCGTCTCGATTTCTGATATGAATGTATTGGCGTGTCTGTCTATACAACATACACCTTTCCACCCGCGCTGCCCCGACACACACACACACACACACACACACACACACACTCGAAACACGCGGCAAACCACGGTCCCAACACGCAGCGCGGTGTGCCCGACATGGCGACTCTACAAGAGGCGCAATGTATTTGAGTTTGAGGAGCGTACTGCAGGGCACTGCAGGGCGAGGGAGGGGGAAGGAAGGGACGGCGTTGTGATCCCTCGGCGTTGTCGCCTCGTGCGGGTACTCTAGAAAAATAAAATAGCAACGCAGGGGGATATCGTGGAGAAAAGGGATCTCGAGATATCGAACGGAACGGGTTTTGGCGAACGCGCGGCGAGGCTTTTCCGCGACTGTACTGATTACGGTTGTTCGCGGACTCCCGGCTGTTTGTTTATCCAGCTGTTTAGGTGACAACAGTTAGCCTGGCTGAGCTATCGTGGCCCTGTGCTGCCGAACCGCGCGTGAGCCGAACCGAGCCGAGCCGTGCCGAGCCGAGCCGTGCCGAGCCGAGCCGAGCCGAGCCGGGCCGGGCCGGGTCGCGAGCCGGCGATGTTGATCATGTTGCACATACCCGCATGCGAATGAGCACCCCAACACAAGTAAGTCCCAGTCGGATTTGAATTCCATATCCCCGGGCGTGCCTCGGGCGTGCCTCGGGCGTGCTGTTCGGCACGGCGGGCAGCGCCGGAGACGCTTCGGAACACGGCTGGCGGCGCACCCTCACGGAGAGCCCCGTGAGTGCGACGGAGACGGAGCGACGGAAGGACTCTGCGCCGCGGAGGGCCCTGCCGGCCGGAGGCGGGCGGGCGGTCCGCGGGGGGAGGGGGGGAGGGGGGGATAGGCCAAAGTTGTGACGGTCTGCAAAACTGCCCCAGTTATGGAATATTTTGCGGGCCGATTAGCATGGATAATGGCCGTGCTGCTGCATAGCTGCTGCATACTTGCAGTGCAGGCCGATATGAGAAACGCGGTATGAGAAATGCAGCAGTGTTATTGTAATGAAGGCGATATCCTCTCCGCCCCCGAGACTCTTATTTCTGCACCGGTATCAGCGTAGCGGTCATCGCGGGCCTCACTCCGAATCCCAACGGTTCGCCAGCTCGTCAGCTACGTCCTGCACGCTTAAAACCTTGCGAAGTATTTTGAGCATACATGGTACGAACTAATCCACTTTGTTGTGCGAAGAAATAGTTCGTCTCCTCGCGGAGCCTTGAATGGCCCCATAGGTTATGGGCGAGGTGTGGTCGTGGTGTGGTCGCCGCCCGGGTGGTCACAGCGGTCAATAAAGCAGCCTAAAAGCGGCGCCGGTTTCGCGAACGAGCCCCTCGGAGCCAGCGCGGCCAGCGCCTAGCCCACATTTGCACACGGGGGAACAAAACGAGCGGCAGGAGATATTCCGGGCAGACACGGGGAATGTGGCGAGAAACAATAGGGAAGCGTCTCTGGGAGCCCCCGGGCCGCCCTGCAGCGCCTGCGCCTTGCTTCCGAGAGTCGCTCTCGTCGCTCTGTCTCTCCGGGGGGAAGCCCCGTGAGTGCGAGAGGGACTCAAGCGAAGTCTGCTGGGCAGTGGCGATGCGGTGGCGCGGGCCGGCCAAGACCCCAGCGCCATTCAATGCCTCGCGACAAGCCGGCCGTGTGGTGGTCGCCGGCCGGCCGGCTGGACAGCATGGAAAACACCCTCGGCGAGAAGCATTGTGGAGCACAAAGAAAGAGCAAAGCGGTGCCAGTCAGTGCCATGAGTAAGCTTCGGCCCCACGGCACTACGGCCCGCGAGCCGGACGCCGCCGAGCAAGCCGGGCGGCTGTGCGCGCTGGAGCCCGCAAACAGGACTCGCCGCGAAACATTAGTCCACATGCCGAACTGTTTACTACTTTTACTCGCTGACCCGGCGACAGCCGACGGAAGACGACGCATCGTCCGAAACGTCAGTTCCTTTGCGCGGCGCGGCCTGCCTCCCCTGCCGAGACGTTGCGTCGTGTTCGTTGTGCTCGAACAGCTGTTCTCCGGGGGCGCTGAACTCCGTCCGTGCCTTGGGTATCGCTTTTTTACGGTGAAGGACGCGGACGTCCACCCTCACGGGGCTGCCCGTGGGGCTGCCCCACCTCCCCCTCGCTCATTACACGCACACTCTCTCACTCTCGCACGCGCGCGCACTCACACACACACACACAGCGCGTCGCGGCACCTGCTGCATGTATCCCCCGCGCGCGGAGGTAAAAGACCTCCCCGTCGCACGCGCGCGCCTCGGAGGGGAGGGGTGGGGGAAGGGGTGCTAGACTCTATCTCCCTTTTGACGTACACTCTTCCTCCCCCGCGAGGCGACCTCCCCCCCCCCCTTTCCCCTCTCTCTGCACTGTCCTGTGTCTTGGTTAACGGAAGCGTTGTATAAAAAAAGGAGCGATGATGGAAATAATGCAGACCACGGCGGCTGGTGTAACAATGCATGCGTGATTAGTGGTATTGGCGGGCATTCCGATGACAGAAGAAAGGAGTTAAAGAAGAAGATGGTGATGATGATGATGATGGCGGTGAGGAAGATGGTTAAGATGAAGCTGAAGATGATGAAGAGGGTGAAGAAGATGGAGGAGGAGCAGGAGGAGCAGGAGCAGGAGTGGGAGGAGGAGGGGCAGCGGGACGGAATCCACTAACGACATGGATCTGCCAATCGAAGTGGAGAGACGTGGGAGTCAGTCGGTCCCCGCGCGGTGTCTTCATTAGCCTCCCTACTCAGTCACCGAGTCGCGGCTCGCTCTTGTTGAAGGCCTGCAGAAGGCCGAGCGCAAAAACTTGGGTCGTTGCGTTGTGCCCCCGCTGCAGGGATAAGACGAAGAAAAGTTGAGGTTAGGTTGGCCCGGCTGGAGAGAAAGAGAGGGGATGACAAATTTGCCGTCTGTTCGATGAGACGACAGTTTGTGTCACTTTGGGCGACGTAACGAATTCTAACCGTTTTCCCGTATGTTGTCTTGGCGGGCTCCTTATTATATGCCTTGCCGGCCTCCCCCGCCGTGAGACGTCCCCCCCCTCCCCCCCCCCTCCCCTCTCGCTCGCCCGCCGCTTCCTCCCGGCCGCCCCCTTCTCCCCGTGTTATTAATAACAAAAAAGAAGCATCGCCTTGTAGTGTGGTGGCTTTTAAAGCGGGGCAACTCGGTTGTCGCGTCGCCGGCTCGCTATCGCGTCTTCATCTCCGCTTTTAATTGGTCGAAATGATTGTGCGTACGTCTCCGGCAGTCTCCGACAGTCTCCGACGCACGCGCTGGAGGCCCTGGCAGGCCCTGTGGAGTACGCGATGGTCTCCGGAATAAATTGGTTTAAATTAATAGGGAATTTGTCTACCGCCCCAGGGGCCTACGCCGGGGGCTCACTTTTTCACGGGGGGATTTCGTCTCTCTGTCCGCGACCGCCTTGTGCACTGCATTCCATGTCGCCTCCCTTTCCCACCCGGGCCCCAAGCCAGGCCCCCTGCCGAGCGATTCAGGAGAGCGCTCTGTCTCTCTCGCTCCCTTGGCCCCGTGAGTGAGACAGGGCAACGATACCACTGCGGCGAGTCGATATACCAACACACCTTTTCGGAGGTGCCGATAATCGCAGAGGCGTGAAAGGGAAGTGCGAGAAAGAGAAGAAGAGATGGAGGAAGGGGGAGAGGAGAAGAGAAGGGGAGAAAGGCTGGAAGGGGAAAGGAGGGGCGACTGATACCTTTTATGTGTGTTTCGTTCCGTTCGGTGTTCTCCGAACCCGAGTCCCGACCCATTCAGTGGCCAAGCTTCCCATTCATTCAACCCGATCACCGCGAGCATTCATTCATTCGTACATTCATTCGGATTTCATTCATTCAATGTTGCATTCATCTTTTCATTCGTCATTCATTTTGTTAATCATTCAGTCATCATTCATTTGCTAATCATTCATTCATTCATTCATCATTGTCAATCGTTCAGTCACTCATTCTCCCGTTCACTCACTGCTGTGAGATGCCCGTGTTGTCCCTGGCGTTCAAGTCTCCAAGTCACTCCGTTCTTGCCCTGTCCGCGAAAATGGGGGCAAACTAATAAAACAAGAAAAGCAAGTATATAGTTTTCTCTGAACCGCCGCGTCGCTAAGCTCGCCGTCACCGCGTTCGCCCGTATTTTTTCTCCTCCTTTTTTTCACCGATT